ATATTTTAAATTTCACAAATAAAATTAAAAAACACCATTATAATGTATTAAATAATTTTTATTACAAACATCAACTCACCGATGTCAAATAACACATATTAATATTTCTTGATATGTAAAATACAAAAGAAAAACATTTTCATTAAACAAAAGTTCAGTTAAAACCGTTATAATGGCATTTCGATTTTACAACTACACTTTTGACCTAATGTCACTAGAAAATGATCATCGTTAAAACATTTATTGACGAGCTTTAGGCACATTATTAATTATTTGATTCACTCAGCCAACCACTTTTCCCCTTCATCCGAGAGAAAAGAAAACACTCCCATCGACCGTCTACTCTCTCGTAACCTACTGCCCTCATCCAACAGTCACGATCTACCCCACTAACGCCTTATCCGCACCAAATTAAAAACATTTCCATTCCCCAAAATACCATCCAACGGTTAAATTCCAGTCTTTCAATTGAAAGATTAAGGTTATGATCGTAAATTCCTATATGCGTCTTTTTATCAGTTCAATGCAGTAAGCCTGCAAATGAGCGTTTCTTATAAAAAACTCGTCTTAGAAACGGCACTGAAGAAGCTTAGCCGAACAGGCTTTTGTCTTCTTCTTTAATGGCAGATCTTGGGTTTTCTAGATTCGCGTTCTGATTTTACGGCGTCATTTTTGAGTTATCTGAGTCGACTCGTTCCATGGAATTGAATAAAGCAGTGACCGGAGATGCTGGATGGAATCTTAGGCCGTGGTTTTGACTCAAAAAGGTTTCTACTTTCTCTTAAAATAAATGCATTGTTGTTTTTCTTTCTTTTTTTTGGAAAATTAAATGCGAGACTTTTTTTCAGTAAATCATTGATAAAGGTGATTAAGAGTCGGATCGATGTGATAAGGAGGAAGAAGAGTGCGACGCTTAAGTTTTTGAAGAAAGATATAGCTGATCTGCTCGCTAATGGCCTTGATATTAATGCTTATGGCAGGGTAATTTTTTTAAAAAAATTATTTTTCCTATTTTTAATCATATATTCAAAATTTTAGAATTTGATTTATTTATTTATTTTTGTTTTAAATTTTAGAATGATTAATAGCGGAACGGTAAGGTTTCAGTTTTGTATATGTCTTTTTCTCAGACTTGTTAGAATATTAGAAAATGTTATGCTTTGTTTTTAATTTATAAATTTTATGGACATGAAAATGAATGTTGTGTTTAATTTTTTGCGAGGTGGTGAAACAGGTGGAAGGGTATATAGCTGAATTTATCCTTTCGTCTTGCTATGATTTTGTTGAGAAATGTTGCGATTTTGTGTCAAAGCATGTTTCAGTTATGCAAAAACTCAGGTATATGTGGCTGTATTATTTCTTTCTCTTTGATAAATTTATATAAATTTATCAAAGATTGAGTAATGTATCTCAGATTGGAGTTGTTTAAAAATTTTGTTGTCATTCAACTTTTCACAATGTTTAAGTTGTGTTTTGGTAAAAAGTGCAAAGAGATGTGTTCTAAAGAAAAAATTGAAAATTCTCTTGCCTTAACATGATGGTTTAAGATTTCTCTGATGAGACTCTTGTCCCATGCTCGTATGCCTTATTTTACTCACCGATTTATATAAGTAATTTTAGGTAGCATTTGGTATCACTTTTAAATTCACCATGGTGATCTAATTACCTTAGTGTTAAGATCATTAAGATGATTTGATTTCTATGTTTGGTCTATATGATAAATCTCTAGTGATCTTAAATCATTGTGTTTGATATTATATAGAAAAAAATCACCAAATATAGAACACCCAAAAAGATCTTATTACTAATAATAAGATTATTTAAAAGAAAGCTACTATTTCAATTTTTATTGAATGAACAATTTATAAAATAAGAACTCATTGTTCAATAGAAATTTATAAGATATGAACAAGTTCTGACGAGTATAATTCAAAGTTATTGGCATGTTCACATTCAAGGGTTACATGAGTTGTCTTGTATAAAATGATTAAAAGATGGAGATTTGCTTATAAAAAACTACAAATTTGAAGAGAAACATATTTTGGTGGGCACCACTTAAAGGTTAAATTTGTCCCAAAATGATTTTGTAGATCACCTCTCTCGATGATAAAACTTTTCCATCTTTTTGGATGGGATTCAAATCACTTTACAAGGTAGTAATCTAATCAGTCTTTATGATCTAAGATTATTCCCACATATAATTCCCAATTTACTATCAAACACAGTGATTAGATCACCCTTGATTTTAAAGAGATCACCCCATATGCAGGATTGTGGACTGCTGTGTAATGTATGGATTTTGTTTTTGGTATTTCCACAAGTAAGAGTAGCCGAGGATCTAGTTTTTATCATCTAATGTTATATTTATTAAATTTAAGCTTATGCTAGGGAAGAAGTATGCATACAGCATATTAGAAGATGGTATCTTTGAACTATGCTTCAGCATACAAGGATTTTACCTTTGTAGGGGGCAAAAGATGGGTTGTTGTTTTCTGATTATTCTTGTTTTTTACTTACATAAAATGAGACAGATTGTGAACTTCTTTTATTATTTTTTTTCTTGAAATTTATCATTAATAACCTGATAAAACAACAGTTGCTTATTCTTGTCAATAAATGCATACAGTGATTGCCCCGAAGATTGCAGGGAGGCTGTCTCATCTCTAATGTTTGCAGCTGCAAGATTCTCAGATTTGCCAGAGTTGCGAGATCTTAGGCAAATATTTCACAAAAGATATGGAAATTCCCCAGAATTATTCGTCAATAAGCAGGTAAATTTCTGATGATCCACTCCAAAAGGAAAATAATTTGTGCTTCCGTCACTGCATTTCTATGACCAATGTTATAAAATTTCATGATAGCTTGTCGAGAATTCAGCTTCAAATCCTTCCACGATGCAGAAGAAAGTAAAGGTAATGCATGATATAGCGTCAGAGTTTTCCATAAAATGGGACTCTGAGGCTTTTGAGCGACGAATGTCTAAACCTACTGTGATTCCACAGGTATGCCTCTCCTTGTGTTTGGTCTTTACTTTTTTAATATTCTTGTTGAGCTTATCCCTATGGTCTTCTCACACTGGAACTCTTGTTATCTCTATAATTGCTCTCTAGGACCAACCTAAAAATTATGGGTCTTTTTATGCCAATGGTGATGATCATAAATCAAGTAATGGAAGAAGTGCTGTTCCACAAGGGGATAAACTTAATGTTTCATCTAAAGAAAAACTTGACATGGGTAAGGGTGGGCACAGATTGGACAACTGCAAGGAGCATAATGTTTTAACAATGGATGAGATCATCTTTCCTCTCCAAGAGGAATTCTCTGTTGAGGGGTACAAACTACGTCATGGCAGGGAGGAAGCTTTCAGAAGGAAGGAGAATCTCAACTTTCCATTATGGCAACAAGAAGTTTCTGCTGGTAAACTTGAATTTTGGAATGGGAAGGATGATGTTACCTTGGAAACAGCAAGATTAAGCAGTTCTTCTTGTGGGAAAAGAATGGAAAGAGTTGATGGTGGAGCCAAGCGACAAGATGGTAGGGAGAATAGTGCACCTAGAATAGATAACCAAGATGTTCTACCAGAGAGAAAGCCAAATTTAAATCCTAGTTATGCAGCTTCACGGTCAAAGAGTCATGATAAAGACCTATTCACTGCAGATAACTACGCTGGCCAATACAGTGTCCAAAATTCAACAAGAAAAACTCATGAGGAAAATGAACCCCAGTGGGAGCTCCCCTCTAGTAGTGGCATCCCTCCTCCTTATGTTAAACCCAGTATCAAACCAAATGTTAATAGGACAGATAAGTGCTAAGAAGGGTTCTATCATCCTGATGAAGATGGGCGGATAATTCCACCTACCAGAGTGAATATTCATGACCGTGAAAAAGATCATTACTATAATCATGATGGGAGTGATGCCCCTATACCAAGACAAAGATCGTCTAGGAGGCGATGTTTGAAATCAGCATCTGGTCATATTGAAGTCGGTAATGCTGAAGATGCAGAATTGGCAAGGAGAAAACCAAGAAGCAGGAGAAGGGATGACTCAAGACGAGGTCTGCAAATCTTATTTTATAATGAGCAGCATAGAAATGATAAGGAGGAAAGGATAATTGATAAACTATTGATGCATTACAGTAAGAAGCCATCATCCTGTGAAGAGGGAAAGATAAGAAGAAAGTCTAAAAGTCGTTATGCACATGATATGGGAAGTGATGCAGGTGAAGGCCCATTGAAAGCAAGCAGGGATAGATCTGATGACCAATTTCTCTCCCTCATGAGCAAACAGGTAAAACAGAGGGAAGTAAAGTGTATGCTCGTGCTACTTCCTTCCAGCAAGATAGGTCAAATGCAGCCCGGCATGTGCATCCGAAGTTACCAGATTATGATGATTTGGCAGCTCACTTTGCAGCAATGAAGGGGAGATAGAACTTTAAGCATACTGAATCATTATTTTCAATCTAATCAGTTTGATTGCATCAATCTTAAAACTTTTATTTGCTTAGCTGAGTTGGTTCTGTGCTGTCCTTTGTGGAAACCTTGAGCTATACTTTGATAGGACAGATGGTGCCCTTGCACTTAGCATTGCTATTTTGAGCATACTTTCTTATGTATTTATAGCACTCGTATTGCTATTTCTATGACCCATGGCCAATACAAGCATTTATGCATGTAATGCTTCAATTTTTAGATTGTAATCCTTGCATTTAAGTTTCTATATTAGTGGTTACTAAGATGAGATTGGTTCAATGGTATCAAAGTTAGCTAAGCAGCCCCGAGTAGAGTAAACCATGTGTCGCAGGTTCCAAAGTTGGCTTTGTAGGCAGGGCAGGTGCCTGCAATGTTCAAGTTATGAAAGGAATCCCATGTATTGGAGGACCTTAAGATAAAATTCTTTTCTTTTACCATCACCTCATTCTGGGATGAAAGGAATCTTTTTTGTTCAATGTTCCTAAACTTAGTATTTTCTTTGAACCATCTTAAAAGTCGTCTTTGTTCGATTTTTCTTGCAAGTTTATATACTTTTTCTTTTGAGAACTGAGAAGGAAAATTCTGAATTGGCCCTCATACTTTTGCTGGTTTTAACTGTTTAGGCCTTGGAGCAGAGCAGATAAAGCTAAGATATGCATCAAGCTATGTTGCAATTATTAAAATGACCACTATGACATTGAATCCCGAGAGAGAGAAGAAAAAAAAAAAAAAAAAAAAACCCAACCATCATTTCAGAACCAAAGAACGAATTCCTTGCATTCCCTATGTCCAAAGTCTCACGAGATTCCCCTCTTATCTACTTTCCTTGTCAAAGGTAAAGGACTTTTTCCCGCCAAAACAAAGCTTTCTTTCCCCTTCTTTAGTTACCGTTCCTCTTTCACTCCCTCCAGTACTCCACGCTCCACAGTCCACAGAAGAAGAAGAAGAAGAAGAAGAAAAAAGAAAAAGTACAATAATGAAGGGGGCATCCAAAATAATCATGGGTGCAACATTGGTAATGGTGGTGAGCCTTGCCATTGTATTAGCTCTAATCCTATTGCTGCTAGCCGAGCTCTATTGCTCTCTCTTACTCCGCAGGCGGCGTCAGCTCAAACACTCCACCTCCGGCTCTACTGTTACCAACACAGCAACTGCTGCCACTACCCCTACCATTACTACTTCTTCCTTTCCTCCTCAAGATAACCAAGATAAATCAACCAGTCGCCTTAGTAGCTTCTATGCACAAGGAGTTCTTCATGCACCAAGGAACTTCCTCTTCCCTGAAGCACTCCCTTACAAACAAAACCAGCTTGAAAAAGATAATCATCATCAAGTCTTTGAAGTCCGCACCCAAGAATCAAACACAAGCCCTCATCAAATTGGTATCTTCTCTCCTACATCTCCATTAACTTCCTTTGCAACCTCTCCTAACCCTGTTCAAGAAATCTCAATCCAAGTTGTAACTGGAACTACTACTACTACTACTTGTGAAGAGGCAGCTTGCGGTACTGCTCCTGGTCATGGTGTGGAGAATTTCGTTTACATTTCGAATCCTATTTACGACAATGATGCTGGCAGGCCAGATACTCCGTTCGAGACTCCGGATACATCACCTTCACGTTTAGAAAATAGCGGTTCTTCAGGGGATGATGAGAAGACTCAGCCTTCTCATGTTGGAGTACTCCACTCACCCCCAATGACACCACCATTGAGTCCAATGAAGAAGCTCCCAGCTCAGGCTTGTTCTGTCTCTCTTAGAGATGCTAGGTCTTTGGCCACTTCGGGTAGTGATTCTAATAGTAACAATGGTCTTTCATCATCTTCATCAGGTTCTCCATGTACGTCTCCTTCATGGTGATTAATTTGAGTTTCTGTCAAAGCTTGCCAGGCAGCAGTGAAACGTTTATTTTAATCTTTTTTTGTTCCTTTTTCTGTGAGCTTTGAGAGGTGGGTTTTTTTTTTAGTGATGGAGATGGTAGCTAGATGTAGCAGAAAAAGATAAACATTAGACTTCTAATGTTTTTAACGACTTTTCTTCGGCAGGCGTGGTAATGGCTCGGCCACCTAAGCCACGCCCCATTGCTAACTAAAATTCCTACTTTCTCGTTGTGTTAGTACGTTGCAGAAATGCTTTTTCGGATTTTTTTGCTTGTGTTGTGGTGTTTTTGGAAAGTTGTAGACAGCAGAAAACGAAGCTTTATGGTTTTGTTTGTTTGGGATATTGCAATGATGCATGTGACATTGCAAAATCCAAACAGAGACAACAGTACAAGTGGACCAAAAGAAATTAGAAAATTAATTTAATTAAAAAGCAAAAAATGAAAGAAAAAAATATATATAAATCCCTCTGTTTTTGAGGGGCCTCCAATGGTGATTTCTATGCATTGAAGGCCAAAATACAAAATTGTCCCCTGTGACTGTGACTGCGAGCGAGGCTTTGCCCACATTATTTAATGACATATGTCAGTTTCTACAGTCTGAACGGACTGAATTTATTAAGCACAGATTGGTCAAAATGTCGTGATTTGTGGGCACCCTGCCTTGGTAGATGGAAATAAGTACCCTCAAAATGAAAAAGACCAGCACTGCCCCCTTAGGCCTCACCGGTCAGTTTATGCTTTATTTAAACCGATTTTTTGGGTCAAAATAGTAATCCAAGTACATATAATAATGGATTTGAAACTAGAAAATCGGACCAAGATGGCTAAGTAAGGGAATTTTAACCAAGGAGCTTCGGCAAGATACTTGAAATATACTACTACTTTTCAAGTGCTTGCCTGTTAGTGGCTTGTTCCGAGTACAGAAATCTCCCAGTTCTAAGTTGTAACTCAGCTTCCAACATAAGTACTAATACTTGTCAAGTGCTTGTTTTCATTAACCCATTTGGCTTCTGAATTAAAATTAAAAAAAAAAAAAAACTATTTACCTTGGGTCAAAAAAATTTAACAATGAGGGCTGAGCAGCTTTCTTGTACAAGACTTTTGACACAGCTTGCACTATTTGCTAGATGTTAATTGGACATAAACCCTAATAGTTCACTAATCAAATTCATTTCTTTGCATTGAACCTTTATTCATATGAAGTTCCATGATCATCTCTTACACAAAATCACAGCATTTGAAACTGACAATATAAAGCTTTTGTGTTTGTGCTGTGTACATACAGCTGATATTCATCAAAGTGAATTACTCCAGAAAGCAGCTTAATCTTCAGTTTCGATGACCTGCAATGACTTATCAACCATTAATTGAGAAAACCTGTTAATTAATAAGTGAGGCCCAAAAAACGATTGCTTGTAATCTAGGGCAAATGCACAGATCTTAATAGTTAATATAACAGCCGCGATTCCATCACTCCAGGGGAAGCTAGAGCCTAGAACGCCCAGACATGGTACCTCAATCATGGTAATGAGACCTTCATGTCTTTAGTTGACAGGTCTAAATTGATTGGCAGATGAATTTTCCCCTGTGAGTGATGAAACCATCTTCCCAGATTTATTCAGATGAAAACTGATTTGTCAGAACTCAGGTGTCAATAATACAAATTACATACGTGTATACAGCTAGCCTTCATATTATCAGGAGCAACAGAAGAGCCTTCTTCCATTTTCTTGCGGTCTGCTGTGCAATTTCATTCCAGTTGGCCGAGAAGGAGCAGCTTTTGCCAACCTCTTTGCTGCAAGAGAGTGTGTGAGCATGAGAAACAAGTTCAGATGGTGCCTGTGAGTTGACATCAACAAAGGGCTACAAACAAGCCAATGTAAATTGAGCAAAATAGATTACTCAAAACTTAAGCTAAATTCATGTTCCGAAAGATTTTGACAAGTTCTTGTTTAGCTGTTTCTTTTTTCTTTTTGGCTACATGTTGTTAAGCTGTACCTTAGAGCAGGGTTAGCTGGTTTCCCTGCTTGGTTATTTTCTTTAACAAATTATTTGATTGTGTAAAACTAATTGAATAATTGTTTGATACTGGCTTAACTCAAATAAAAGGAAATGAGCTAAAATTGACAATTGTCATTCTATTTTTAAGCTAAATCAGTTCTCATGTATGTAGCATCTGTGAGCAACCTTTTGGATAAGTTAATCAGCCATATGGTTGATGATTACTAATGAAGTTATCAAAGATCATTTCCTTTCTGTCTTTAGGATTACTACCTTATGCTATATATGCATTGTGAAAATTTACCTATGCCATATACCAAAGAGAGTACAGCATGAGACATGAAGAGCTTCAAATTGCATCATACAGGAAGAAAACCGCTTATAAAATATGGTATTACCTATTTCATAAAAGAGTTCATTGACATTTTGTGCAGTCTTTGCAGATGTTTCAAGGAAAGTCAAGCCATTTTCTTTGGCATATAGTTCACCTTCCTGCATAAAAACATTAAGACCGACTTAAACATACATGGGGTTATTCAACTTTTCAATTTTACTGTTTCCCTTATCCCTGTTCTAGGCAATGGTTGTATGGCCTTCATACTATTTAGCATGAGTTTGTCTCTGAAGACATTAACAAGAAAAAAAGCACAGTATGGTACATATTTTTCTCAGTTTAATTTAAACATCACCAATGAATGATTTACCCATGTCGAGGTCTAGTCTGCAGAATAAAGTGCTTACTATGACTGAGACTAAACTGAGGGAATAACACAATGTAACCTGAATGCTAATAGAAGCCTTCTTTGAAATGCTCTGATAATGTCTTTGACATAGTATGCAATTATGAACAACATAAAGCAAATTTCAAGATGTCCTAGCATAGCAGTAATCAGCTAAAGCTCTGAGAAGTGGGGCCTTTGATTGCAATCTTTCTAGTTGCAAAAGGAAAAACAGATAATTGAAGCAAATATCAGATTGCAAGTACCTCATTTCCCACTTTTCTCTTTTCTTCCAAGTCAGCCTTGTTTGCTACCAAGAACATTATCAAATTTGGATTTCCTGAAACAATGTAATATGAATCAGACAAGAAGTTAAGAAATATGAAGCATGCCTGAATTTTTAGATCTATGCTCAGTCATATTGAAGTCAGAAATTCAACCGATCTATGGATTTAAAATATCAACTTAATGTATAATTATACTTCTGGTCAAATGTTTAAATATGTAGAATAATTGATGCTGGAATTATACTTCAGATTTTAAGCGGACAGCTACTCCAAGATCAGTAAGAGAGTAAACATTTTAAAGACAGCAACAACTCTCATTTGCAAAGGGAAGGGTGAAGTCTGCAGAGTAAGGTTCTACGAGAGAAGAAATGATAAGGGCTCAAAGACCTCTAATGAATTTCAGTCCTCACAATAAAACATTTACATTACTTGTCAATTACCTTGTCTTTGCAGTTCCTGAACCCATTTTTTGGCACGCTCAAATGAGTCCTGAAATACCAACCATCATTTGATCATATCGACAGTCAATTACAAAGCATGAACGCATGTTGGCAGTAGTATTAAAGAAAGAATCTTTGAATCGACTATAACTTTAAAATGGATAAATTTAAAAAGTATGATGATCAAAATATATAAGCTTCAAGTCCTTGTCAGTTGTCATTAACAAATGCACACATCTATCACCTTTAATGGATGATCTGTATTTGACAAATGCAAAAAAAAAAAAAAAAAAATGGAAAAGAAGAAAAGGAACTAGTAACTGATTCACATGGACAGACACTACACAGTTTTAACATTAAGGCAAAGGACAAGGTGGAGGAATGTCCATGTTACGGCTATGCCATGATCTATTAGTATTAATTAGGCAAGTTTCATATAACTAGATATGCAGATAAGAGTATGTAGGCCAGATACACAGATTCTTTATATGTTGCTATTTCCTCACGAAAACTTCAACTTGTATCCAAATATCTTTTGGTATTGTTTGAGCCCAATTTGTGAAATTCATGACTTATAGGGACCTCAGTAACTAAGAGATGTTCAATCATAACTGAATAAAAATGTTAAAATAAAATAAAGTATAAAAAGCTAGACAGAAAGCTACCGAGCTTGTTATATCATAGACCACAACAGCAGCGGCTGCACCACGATAGTACATAGGAGCCAAACTATGGTATCTTTCCTGTCCTGCTGTGTCCCATATATCAAACTTTATGGTGGTTTCATTTAGTGACAAAACCTGAGTGAAGAAGGCTGCTCCAATTGTCGATTCCTACATATACACTTACATTATTAGATGGATATACCTTGATGTTATCACAAAGGCAGAAAATAGAGAAAAGTAAATTGAAAATAAACCTGAAAATCAAAAAAATGGCCTTTGACAAATCTCAAAACCAAGCTTGGTTTCCCAGCTCCCATGTCCCCAAGAAGTACCTGGGAAAAGAATTCATCTCAGTGTTACCTCCTTGTTTAGGTCATTCATGAATATCATGACTATTCATTTTTTTTGGAAAAAAAAAATCATGACTCTTCATTAGTAAATAGTAATATGTAACTTTTCTTAATAAACTTAGTTCTGTAGATCGTAACAAAAAGGGAAAATAAATTCCTTGTATAATAGATTGAAAGACAAAATGAGTAACTATATTCTAAATTATAGAAAAAAGAGGAAAACAAGAAACCAATCAACTAACAAAGCACCTTCTCCATTGATCTCCAGTCAAGAGCATGAAAACAAGTACTGTTTTCAGGATTTATATTACAAGACCAGGTACTTCAAAAGGGGCATTTTGGTTCTGCAGGAATATGTCTCTTTAAAGCATTTTCAAGATCATAATTTTGCTTCAGGCATCAAGATCATGTTTAAAGTGGAAAAAAGAAAAGCAATTGGTTTTCTGAATTAAAATCTTTCCTTTTTTTAAACCAACAACCAATCATTAATTCAAAACCAAAAACAAAGAAAGACATACCCACCAGCTTCGCTTGTATGTTCTTGTTGCTCGTCCTTGCCATTAACGATTTGATAAGAATTCCAAGAAATAAAGAGAAAAACAGAGAGCTCCAGAGAAACTTTGGAATTGAAAATAATCTGTTGAAACCAAAATGGAAATGGACAAAAGCTTGTTAGAAGATAACAAGAAGTAAATGGCTAACTCCAGGAACGTAATTATTGTTTCCAGGGAAGTGTCAAACAAAGATTATACCAAGAACTAGGAGTAGGAATGTAGAAACATAGTAAAACGGGAGTGGAAATAGCAGTTGCTGTTTCTTAAGTGAGACCGGTAGTTTTGTCAGTTGACTGGTAAGTTGGTTTTCATTTTTCTTCCCAGGCTTCACTTGTTTTGTAATTTTTTCTGTTTTTAGAAGGGCAGCCGCATCAGCTTTTGCTACAAATACATAAACATTATCTTACTTCATTGATTTATATAATCATTTTTAAAAAAAATATATAACAAATCTAAAATTGTTCTAATGTGCTGCTATGCTGAGGTGAGGAATCAATTTTTTGTTTTTCCTCTTCCACTACAGTTAACCTCTAAATGTGTAAACCACAGTGCGAGGAGATACTAACTCGAAGGATATATGGAATTGCTTGATAAAGTGCATGCACAAGACTTGTTCTAATGTGCTGTCCAGACAAAATTATCACCATTGGGTTTTTGAAATTTCCTGCTCATTGACATTAAATGCCAACATAAATTATGTTCTGGGGGTCAAAATCAGTTTGAGAGAATTAGAAACTTGGTTAGCTGGATTATGATTTGTTCTTGTATCATTGGCCCACCCATTAGCATGCTGAAGAAATAGTTTCAAATCATTTCTTTTCTGTTTGCAAAGAGGGGAAAAGAAGGTAGGGAAGAGGGTTATTCCTTCTTCTCTGTGTTGGTCTTTGGTTTTTTATGTTTGGTGTGAACTGAAACTGGTATAATATGGAATAGCAAGGTCTTTTCAACCCATTTTTTTCTTCTGTACCTTGCTAGGACCGATTGTAGATTGCTTGCCATCAATATAAGAAGTCTTTGGTCAATACTTTTATTCCCTTTTTTCATAAAAGATATTCCATATATTTTACGTTTTGACTGATAATCCTATAACGGGTTCGTGTTTTGCAGTAATGTAAGTGGACAGTGCTCCAATCTACCATTTTGGCCAATAGATGTACTACAAGCGAGAAACAGACTCGGATGCTGCCATGATTTGGTTCCTCATTGGTTATACTGTACATGTTGATGTAAATGATCATATTTCGGTTAGTAGGTGCATATAACTAGCAGTTGTAAGCCTATGATTGAATGAAAATGATTTATTCAAATAATTTTTCTTTAGCTTGCCTTCTGATTATACAATGATTTATTGAGATGCACATGGATTTGAGTTTAAATTAAAATGAATCTAGGTTCCAGCTTGCATACAGACAGACTATGCTGTTCTGTAGTTAGCTTCTTTTAAGCTGAATAAGTTAAAAAAAAAAAAAAAGTGTTGCTGCTGCCATTAATTTTGTATCAATTCTCATGAAGAGGTTCATAGGGTCTCAATTCTTTTCTATTTTTGTACAATTGATTAAGGTCAACAGGGCAGAAGAAATTCGAACTTTACACTCTATTGTTCAAATAGAAGGGTAATAATTGTTAGGTCAAGCTTAGCTTATTGACTTACCCTAATGGTGGGTTGTCATAGGAGATGGTAAAATCTGAAACTCATTAGATTACCATGATTTCTACAGTTTTATTTCTTTTTATTGAATTGTTACGTTAAGACAACTCCACCTCACTGTGGCTTGGCAATGGCATACCCACCCTTACATAAGAGGGAGAGAAAAGACGGGTAAAGGGGCTTTACCCAAGAGCAAGGGTAGGGAGTTGATGCGTAGGTATCATGGGAAAAATGCAATAATTTCAGAAAACAAATATATATAGGTTTGGAGGATTAACCAAACAACCTTTATAGATTTGTTTGTAATTCACAAGAAAAGACAAAAAAAGGATATATCTAAAAAGGGTAGGCCCTATATAATAGAATAGTTCAAACCATGGGTGCCTTTGTACAACTGATTTTAGACCTTGAACTAAAACTACCGGTCATTTCTTGCTAACAAATAGACCACCCCCACGCATACTCGGCACTGTGATGCAGTCATTGCTTGCTGACGAATCGCCCACCCCACACATATTCCGCATGGTGGTGCCTACACCGAAACGACCCCGGGTGGTGCTTCGTAGGTGAACACAGACACCTCTTCATGATCGAACCAGCTCCTCCACCAGTCTTTCTAGCCACTCCAGGTCTTGGTGCATGATGGGCAGCAGCCATCATTGATGCTTGCAAAACGAACCATCTGCGTTGCACCACCAAGCCTCGTTTGCCAACGGAAGGAACGCTTGCATAGCACATTTTTCTTTTCTTCTTTTTGGCCCCTTCTCTCCGCTCTGCCTTTCACTCTGGGTATTATTATGTTTCTGTGTGAACAGAGGTCGAAAAGCAAAGAATCTGTGTTCCGGTGAAATTATATAAGGGATGGGAAGGAAAGGAAGGAATAAGGAGTGGTGGGCAAGTAAAGTTTGGGGCATAAAGCAGTTTTTGATTGATTCTAGAAGCTTTTGCTTTTATCTTCAAAGCTTCGACTAGGTGCCAATTAGAGATCCGTCCAAAAGCATCAGCTTCTCATACTCCCACTTGTCCAAAAAAATGGCCTAACAAACCGATACATGCCCATCAAGATTCCAGTTCAAAATCAGGCGCTGCCACGCCCTATTATGTTTAACGTGGAAGCATCTCAGTGGCTCAGCGGTGGCCAGGGAGTAGAGTTTATGTTAGCCGCTGGTTTTTTCTTTTCCTGATGCTTGCACGGTTTGATTACTGAAAGAGAAGTCTGAAATTTGAGTGTGGAAACGCAAAATGAAGAGATCACCTACTTTTTGAAACTTGTTTGTCCAATGATAAATGCTCACTTTCAGTTAAGGTGTATATATAAAAAAGGACAATGGTTGAGCTGATGATGCTGACGCTTTTCCTAGTCCTATCCTCGTCAAAAGCACATTTCTTCTTGGATTTTAGCAAAGGGCCAAGACCTTTTGCCGTCATACCAGAGGGAAAAAATGCGTGTGATTGGGTAAAGTGCCAGTAGGATGGGCTTTGGAAGTAGCGTATCCAATGTACAATCAAGGCAATCGGTTCAGAGAAATTTCCAAGTTCCATCAGCTGTCTGCCTTCCTCGGGGTCTATTTGCTGCTAGATAATGGATGGGGACGTTATTCTGAAATACTAATATTCTTGATTCCAGTATTTTTCTTGTATTTAAAAAAACAATTAACCGTATCTCTTTTTCTGTCAAGTAAAAGAAAAAATCTTGCATATACCAAATACCATTTGCAGTTTACATTCATGTTAGCTCATCTTGTTTCTAGTTGCTTGCTGTTGGGTCTTGGGCCTGAGGCCCTCTATCTCGTATCCAAAACCCAAAAAAAAAAAAGTACTTACCAGAATAATTAAAGCTTATCAGGCTTTTATTAGCAGCCTAATAGCAAAAGGCTCACAATTAATCCCCTCTGAAATTTGCACCCTGAAATTGCATGTTCCAGAAGCTTACATGGGAGGCAGGGTACCCAGCTTGACGCTAATCCAATACATATGTTATTCCTACTTTTTTTTATTAATTAATTAATTAATTAATTATAAGCACAGATTCATCTTATATATATATATATATATATGTATTTTATGTTGCAATCGAATACGACTAAAACTAAACAACAGCAACAAGAAATCTCTGTCGTTTCAGTCAATGCGAAATTAACCATTCTAATTTTCAAATTTTAGATCAAAGCAAAACAACAATTTTTTTTAATGTAAACTAACAATTCATTGACAATAATCAGGACCACAAACAAAGTTTGGAAGTGACGACCTACAAACCCTTTGCTCACCTAACAGACAACCAGACCTAGTCAACTCGTGGGCTACCATATTTGCATTTCTAGAAACATGATCAATAGAACATGAAAGAAAATGTAAAACGAGGTCTTTAATATTTGAGGCCAAATTTCCATCAGCCCAGTAGGAGATATCGCTGCAGTTGACCTCGTTGACATCCAATAAGGAATCACTTTCCAGAATTACATTATTCATATCTTGTTCTTTCGCCAGCTTCAAGCACCAAAAGATAGCCTTAATCTCAGCTTGGAGCAGACTATCAACTCCTGCCATAAGAGATACAGCTGAGAACAATACAACCCCTGTTGAATCACGCACAGCCATTCCCAATCCTGCTTCTTGCTCCCTTTCTTTGTAAGCAGCATCCACATTAATCTTTACCAAGCCTTGTGGCGGGGGAGAGCAAAACAACTTGTTTGACCTTCCGTGCCCTACCTACCTCACAATCTCACAACTTTTGCATCTTAAGAAAAAGTATAACTTTACTAACAAGGACTTTACTTAGTTTTGAAGGAGCAAATTTTAAAATTTCAAAATCTTAGATTCAAGTTCCATCTTATAAATTTGATTGTTTAGTTGTGTTTTAATTTGTTAATTGATGATACAATGATTGTAATTGATTATGATATAATAATTGATTATTCAGTTAATTATATAGATGTAATACATGATTTTGATATTTGATTATGTTTGTAACTTTAAAAAAATCAAATGTAAAACTTTGAATTGGCTATGATATTGTTAAACATCATCAGGTACAAGCATAGTTATTCTAATTTATTTTTTTCCGCAGCAACGAAATTAGTTTGATAGTAAAAGCAGTGAAAAGAGAGACAATAGGAAATCTGTTTATCATTAGTTTAATTTTCTGAATGGACAATAGTCTTCATGGAAACAAAATTAAAGATTTCTTGTTCCTAGAATGCATTAAAATCTGGAAATAATTTGTCTAAGGCAAGGATTCCAAGCAGAATTTGAACTGTATCCTTAAGCTGGCACATGGCATGGTGGCAGCATAAATTCTCTTATGCATCAATTCTTTTTCTCATAACCAAACTTCTTTTTTTCTTGGTATTAAGCAAATGCCAATCTGAAAACTTGTGTATCTACTACCTTTAAAAAAAAAAAAAAAAATCAATGCCCCTCAATTACTCTC